CTTTCCACACTGTTCACAGCTGAATGGTTTAAATCCAGTGTGGATGAGCTGATGTGCTGTTAAGTTACTTTTGGAAGTGAAAGACTTTCCACACTGGTCACAACTGAATGGTTTAACTCCAGTGTGGATGAGCTGATGTCCTTTTAAGTTACTTTTGGAAGTGAAAGCCTTTCCACACTGTTCACAGCTGAATGGTTTAAATCCATTGTGGATGAGCTGATGTTTTTTTAAACTGTGATGCTGAGAAAAAGACTTTCCACAATGATCACAGCTAAAGGGTTTGACTTCAGCATGGATGAGATGATGTCTTTTTAAGCTGCTATTATGAGTAAAAGACTTTCCACAACAATTACATCTAAAGCTTCTGTCCCCACTATCGGTGCGCTGGTGTCTTCTGGCTTGCTTCATAGTGGTAAAAGTCTTTTCCAGAGGGATCACAACTGGTTTATCTGTACTTGTTGGTGTTGGGTGGGTTATTTTTAGGTCATCAGTGTGCCGAGGTTTTGGCTTGCTTTTCCTTCTTTTGCCTATGATGACAAAGAATCAAAATAGTGACATGCAGTTATGGAACAACAAAACCTACAAAAAAAAGAATATAGTTGTTTTTTTTTTGTTTTTTTTACAGTGTAAGAATATTCAACACTGCTATCAATACATTTTTCAAAAATTGTCTTTGTGCAAAATGGGTTTAAAAACACAAACAACTGTGGGATACTGTTTGTCCATGATTTGCACCGGGTTAACAAATTGTCACAGGATCAGTGCTGTGCCAAGGTAGGTATCACCAACTAAATTTGTGTCCCCTGCATTGTGAGCATTCGCTGGGCACAGTTAGATTTGTATTGTTGATTGTCATTTATGCTTATGTGACCAAGTGGTCAGCGGGGTTAGATAAAAGGAAATAATAAAATGACAACGCCACCTAGGGGAATTTCACCCCCAGGAAATATATTTAAGAAAAATAGATTATAGGAATAAAAGGAGGCCGCACAACAACGGCTGGGAAGGCGTTTCACTCTTCCGATTTAGGTTGGGCAATTTGCCACGGAGAGGTGAATACAGCAATCAAACCCTAAAACAACAGATAAATGTAACCTTAGACTCTTAT